AAAATAAAAAAATCAGAACAATTATTCATCACATTCCTATTCAATGAGGCAATGTGTGTGAATTCAGCTTATTTCCCACGTGGCGGCTGAGAGACTGTACTGATGATTCCCGCTCCCACCAGCATCTAGTGCTACGTCTGCGTTTACAACTGATGGGGGAAACACAGACTTCTAACTGGTCTGATAATTTACTAAATGTCGAATTTTCATCCTATTGACCTTATATTAAACTGGAAAATAAAGATGGTTGATTCGCCCTTTCCTCCCTCCTCCCCCGCCTAAAGCAGAATGAGTTACAGGAATTTCTTAAGCTTTTCATTTCTGAACAAGAAAGCCTTCAGCGGTGACCACTTATTCGAAAACCTATTTATCCGGTTAAAAAATTCCCATTGGAAAATTCCACGAGATAACTTTGCAATCTTGCAAAAATTCTTCAATGTCCGACTCTAAATTATGAAGAAAGCTTAATGATCTGTAGATGGCCAATTTTCAGCCCGTGCATGTCATCTCATCAGGCAAATGTCTGCTGTTTAAGCCAACTTGTACTGTACTGTTTCTCACCAATACTATATATTGTGGTATAATATGTATTGTACTAAGTTATTGTACTAAGTTACTAAGTTATTGTACTTTCTCAGATGTTTATGCACGCGGTTTACTTCCATTCGCAATGCAAAAGGACTCTGCGGTCTATTGTGGTACGATCAAAGTCGATTCTTTATGATAGTTTATACTGGCCTTAACAAAGCAACAGTGAAGCAGCAGTTTCTCAAAGTAGCAAAATATCTAACAATGTAATTTATTCCGGTAAAGTTCTGCTAATGAAATGCAAAAGTGACTCCGATGCCAGAAGAAACAAACCTCTTCAACAGCCGAAGTACCGCGGTCCTCGCTTGTAGTCGCCTGCTCGTCATCTTTCGCGCACTGTTTCTTCTCGCCCTCATCACTACTGCTGTCACTCAGTTCGCCAAGCAATTCCGCCACATTCGCCCAGTCAGACATAATTTCCAAGAGTAGCACGAAACAGGAACTTTGCTACCCACCCTTGTATATAGCAAAACGCTGCTTCCGGACTGAAAATCAAAAAAAGCAGGCCGTTTTCGTGATTAAGAGAACTAATCGCTCAACGAATCGCTAATTTGGTTCAATGGCAACGTTAAACACCGGCATATGCTCGACAGTCGCCATAAGCATACTTGTAAGCAACTCTCGGAAGAGGAAGCCA